CCTTTACGCGCTTCCAGGTGAGTTATTTCTACAATTATTATTCACTGTTAAGCAAAGTAAACGGAATAGACTGTTAGTCGATCAGATGTTGTTCTTGAGTATTCGATAAACGACTTTGTTTGCTCAGACTTTTGCTTGGGCTTTAAAAGATTGTGCAGATGTGAGTGAGCGCACAGAAGTTGTAAAATGACGCAAGACCTCAGACTGTAGATCTACACCGAGTAGAAAACCCACCCGTTTATCAATGTTCGGACGTTTCTTAAGTTCGTTTCTTGTTCTTTTCTAACCCTTCTGTGTCTAATTTTAAAGTTAAGTTGAAAACTAACACCAGAGGTCCCGTGTGACGGAGCGACAACCAGTAGGAAATGCTTAAGCAGAGTCCAAACAAATGCGCCTTTCTTTTCCGCTGAAAACCAATGGTTCAGTCGGACGACGTAACATGATGGGCGCCGACCGAGTGTTGGATTCAGACGTTTTTATTATTATTATTAATGATAATTTTATTTAAATGGTCGACCTAACGGTTGAATACAAATTTTTCAACTTTTTTTTAACTTGAAGCGGGAACTCACTGTGTATGTTTGTACTGGGGGCTGTTAGGGCGAGTTAGGGCTTGTAGGCGACAGTTTCCTCCCTCTCCCCCCTCCTCCCCCTCCTCGAGACAGTGTTTATTTGGGACAGATGTGTCTTTTCGGAGATCAGCGGCTCAGTCTCTGGGGGTTACTGGTGGTCTTATGGAATCCATATGGAGTTTGCATGATCTCCACATGTGTACGTGGGGTTTCTTTGGAACCCGTGGTTTCCTCCCACAATCAAAAGACATGCAAGGTTAGGATATTTGGACACTCTTAACAGACCATAGGTACAAATGTTAGTGTGAATGGTTGTTTGTATCTATATGTGACCCTGTGGTGGACTGGTGAACAGGGTGCCGTCGCCCAATGACTGTGGGATTGGCACTGAACAGTAGACGATGAATGACTGACACTGGTCAATCTGGTCATTAGAAAAAAAGTGAACTAAAGACTGTAATCCTCCTGATTTAAAAGTCAATATTGATTCTCGTGGAGTGTCATTAGGTCTCATTAGGTTTGAACAACCATGTGGTTAACCTCTGCTATTAACAAGTTACACCCAACATGTACAGAGGTTAATATGAAGGTTGGCCCCACCCCTCTAAATTGGAGAAATATATAACTATACTGTCTTGCAAAGGTGGGGGTGGGAGGGTGGGTGGGTGGATGCTTCAAGATTCAATTAAGTCAGACTAAAGAGAGTCCTTGTGAATGCACTTTAGCACTCTGCCTGGATGCTGAAACGTCTTCTAAAATGAGGCTGTTATTGAAAGAAACATCTTCAAAGTGCGGTTTCTTCGGGTGTGGCTATAAAGTACTTTAATAGCAGAATTTTAACCCCCCCACAATGGCCAGTTGTTCAAAGTTAGTTTCCCCACAGAGTTTGTGTGGTAAGGCTGATAGCAGCAATGCCTCCCTCTGTTCAAAATCGTGTGAAGGAATGTCAAGACAGAGGAGGGATAAGTTGACGACTCCCTGACAGCCTATTAATGTAGAGGGGTTTAGAAACCAGACAGAAACTTGGCATCTATTACAACAAGATTCAAAAACACCATAGCCACAGATAACCCTCCATGCTGCTCCTCATCACACTGCACATCACCACCATAAGATGCATGTTTTCTGTGGAATGCAATTTGCCAATATTTTAAAAAATATGTGTGAATACTATATGTCAAAAGCATTAGGATTAGTGGCAGGAATTTTCCTTTAATTAACTTTACCAAACAAGGAATGACTCGACTATTATCCTTTTTTGCAATAATGCTGATTTGTCTCTGGAGGTTTACATACAGATGACTAGCTTTAGGCCCACAATAATTTGCACAGTTTAAATAAATTATCGTGTGTTTTTTTAAATCCTTATTCCCACTGGACCTCTTAAGAAAGATGTTGCAGCAGACAAATATTCTAAAAGAAATAAGTTGTAATTACTTTTTAACAGTGCATTTTTGAGCCGCACATTATTTGTCTGTGATCAGCCACAGCTGCTCTGCTCTTTGCTATAAAAGTGCCTTAAAATGGACTGTTGGTGTGTGCGTGAGGAGGGAGGCGCAGTAGTGTGTGGATGTGTGTGTGCGTTTGTGACCTAAAGCCATGTCAAGATAATAACTCTCAGAGAGGTAACCCCAAAAGTTTCCCTCCAAATGAACACTGATCGTCCAGGTGTAATGTCTTGTTGAGCTGTAGTTTCATATTCAACAGTAAGAAGGTGTTCGGCAAAATAAATCATTTCCTATTTGACTATTTTTTATTGGTGACACAGCTGGGGAAAGTTTCCTTTTGATATTTTTGACTAGTGGACTTTGTAGGAATTACATCCATTTTAATAAAGGTCAGCAGAGTTTTAAAGATGTAGGAGTGTTTTGGGATATTTCCATGAATAAAAGAATCAACAGAAAGTAATAATGTCGCAATTATAGCATTAGTTAACATGTTGCATCCAAAAAACAGCCTTAAGACACTTTAGAGAGTAGTGAGGAAATCCTGTCCTTGCAGGGGTAGATTTCTATCACTACTTCTTGTAACTTGGTTTTCCGGAGTTTGTGTAACTATTCCACATCCATTAAAGCTGGAGGCAGCAGCAGCAGCAGCAGCTGAAGCAGCAGCAGCAGCAGCAGCATGTCTGATGTGCTTCTCCGTTCTTCTATGGCAACAGGTGTTCTCTCTCTGTTGCCAGCACACACATAAACTCGGCCTCTGCTGCTTAGAGCTTTATGCAAAGTACCTCATGTTTAGCTCCTTTGTATTCTCATGCTAATGAAATATACACAGATGGAGCTCAAAGCAAATACGGTGCAATAAAAAATGTACTTTGAGAGATACTTGGTAAATTAGAGAACTTGACTCATTGACTTTGTCACCATCAGACCTCCAGGGAAAAAGACAAAAAACAAAAGGGTGAGCCACCAAATGTTGTCTGGTTTACCTCTGCAGTATTTTAGCACCATATCTGTTGCTTTTCTGCCTCTGGACAGTCAGTTCAAATAGATGCTGCTTTCAGACAGGGCAGCTTAAATTATTAGACAGTCTAAAGTGATTTGGAGTGATCTATAAACACTATGTGTGCCTGTCTGTGTGTGTGTGTTTTGTTCCCTGTAATATGAGATTTTATTACTTCCTTCTCCATGCTCAGTAAATACACAAAGGCGTGCATCTGTCTGTGTCTTTGTTATTAGTTTTCAGAAAGCCAAAATGTTAGTGCTGGGTGGAATCATTCTTCTGCACGTCACCACCATCATCCTGCTCCTGGTGGCCACCATTGATAATGTGAGTGGACTTGATTTTTCTATTTTTTTTTTTTCACACAATCATACTTTTAATCTTTATTCAATCCATCGCAGTCAGACATGAAAACATTCATTGCTCAAATTCCAATTTTATGACCACAACAGAAATATATTGTCCCATGTATGTGTAAATACATAAATACAGATCTATATGTGTGTATGTATATATATATATACATATGTATATATGAAAAGTGTGAGATTTTCATATACGACTAGATATATTTTATCACCTCCGTGTATTGATGTCGTAGTGATGACCTGATATGTGTGTTCATTTCTCGTGCTCTTTTGTGTCTCCAGGCCTGGTGGATTACTGACACAGTGTCAACTGACTTGTGGGGCAGATGGGAGCTGTCTAACAATTTGTGGCATTTCACAAACTTGAAAAACTACCCAGAGGGTAAACTCTTTACCTTTGTTACAACTGACACTGATCTTACTGCACTGCTACCAGTAACTTCTGCTATGTTTTATTTTTACTCTGCTCAGCCTGAAGCCTTACAGTAGGCGTCAGCGAAGAGAGGGGGCAGGGCAGGGACGCTGCTAATAAAGTTGCATACACAGTGGCTTAACCTTTATTATTATATTTAGAACATTTTTATGCCGGTCATATCATTTTAATAAAGGCCTCGAATTACGAGTGCTCAACCGAGCTCCATTTTTCCACTTGACGCTGTTGCGCTCACTGTCCCTTGCTGTTTTTTTTTATAACAATAATATAAAATGTTTTCTTAATTATTATTATTTTAGATTATTTATATATTTGTTTTTATCTATGTTTTTTATGTTTAGATGGAGGGAATTTTAATTTAATTAATTAATAGTATATTTGTTGGGGGGCTGGAACGAATTAATTGGTTTTTAGTTATTTTTAATAGGAATAGGAATAATATAAAACATGTCACAATCAGCTTACTTATCAGCTTTAAAATATGTCACAATCAGCTTACTTATCAGCTTACTGTTGATCGTGCAGAAACCAGTCAGTCAAACAACACCACACCTCTTACCTGGAAACAAGGACAGGAATGAACACTGAATTCACATTAACTCAGGAACTGGGCTGCGAAAACCGTGTAGCTAGTGCTGCAGAGTGCTTTAATCACTGTTGTATTCGGGCTGCATTTTTACAGTTGGGGTTGGACAGGATTAACAACAACACTGCTGATTGTAATGTAGTTATAAATCTCATTTTGTTCATAACTGACTGACTCCATTTTGTTTTTGCTGCAGATTATCTCCAAGCGATCCAGGCCACCGCTGTGCTCTCCTGCATTTTTGCCATTCTGGCCTTGTTTGTGTTTGTGGCCCAACTTTTCACCCTGCCAAAAGGCCAGAGATTCACCTTCACTGGCATTCTGCAGCTAATTGCCTGTGAGTAGCGTGGAGTCAAATGTCCGAGTGGACAGCTGTGAGAGGCATTGATCCAGCAGCCTGTTTGATTAACCAGTGTTTGCTGTCCAACGTAAACAGCAATGTGACTTAACGTGTCTTCTAAAAGGTTAGAGCAGAGGAGAGTGTTTTTCAAAATCCACAAACACAAGTGTCTGGTTCTCCACTTTAACAGTACATATGTACAGGAGCAGATATACAGTATATTGTGAAGGGGTTATGTAGAGCAAAATGAAAAAAACAAATGGAGAGCATTGTGTTTGCTCACTGCCATTAATTCTTGTTGTACAAGAGGTCAACAATTACTATCAGATTAACATAATGAGAAACTGTTTGCTCACTGCCATTAAGTCTTGTTGTACAAGAGGTCAACAAATACTATCAGATTAACATAATGAGAAACTTTGGTCCAACTCACACATGGTTAATCCATCGTCAGTTGACCTTGTTGTAACACAGCACGTATTTAGAACATAAAAAACACAGCACATAATATCATTAATTAATGTTTTCTCATTAGTGGTCCCAAACTAAAATGAGCCGGGGGGCGGGGTATACCGTTGCCCATGACATCTCATTGAAGGACCAAAAATTAACAAGAGAGGGTCAGGTGACATCATAATGACATATAGTTCTGGGCCACATGTGGATGGTTTGCAGGATAAATTTGGCCTCGGGGCCAAAAGTTTGAGACCATGTACTAAACCGTGCATTAACACAAGGAGAGGCGTGTAAGTGTCTGTACAGTAACTACGTTCTCTCACATTACTGAGTTCATTTGTATTCTGTAAGTAACCGGTTCATACTGTGCTACACTTGTAAGGATATTTTGAGCAACACAAAAGGTGAAACCCATGCTCTAACCCTCTGACTCCACAGATGAGCTTGTGCTGTAGCAGCCACGCTGGACTGTGTTGCATCAAACTGTCTTTTTTTTACTACTCGCGGCGCACTGTGAGCTGCAGCAGCGCAATGAATGTAGAATGACCCGACGTCTCCTCGATCAGATCATCAAAAACCGGTTTACACTGGTCGTCTCGCTGACAGGTTTTTTAAATGGCAGATCATTCAAATTCTCTGTCAGCGTTCCAGGTGCCTTTGGATATTATCTCAACAGAATAAGAATGTTGTGTTTGCTGATAAAACATCATCTCGCTCAAGCTAAGACGAGGTATGACAAACACATTTGCAGGTTGAGAGCAGACTCAACGGGCTGTGAACACTGCACTACAACATTTGGAAAATGTAAATAATAATATAGATGTGTGTAGAGACTGTAATGTTATGTTCTTGTTTTATATTTAAGTGCTTTATCAAGTCTCTCAGTGATTATCAACACAGAAACAGTGGGCTGCACTGTCATGTGTCTGTAGAGTGAAGGAGGTTCTAGGATTAGAACCACAATCCTCCCATTACAACCCTGATCTTCAACCTTAGGTCGTGGGCTGCATTAAAAAAAGTCATAAGCAAAAATTAGACATACAACATATAATTTCCTGGTTAATTGGGTGATTATTGCCTTCTGTAAGAATGAGTCAATGAGACTTTGTCCGATTATTAAGAGACATTTAAACATTGTGGTTAAATACCCAGAGGTTGGAGCCGTGTCTATATAAATGCATTAGGGTTTAATCTATGAGAATAATAATAGTAATAGCATATTTTGACATTACAGTTAAATACTGTAATTATGGAATATTAGTACTGCCTTTGTCAAATACTGGAACAGTGCACCGAGCAGATTCGTTATTATGTGTTGAATTATGTAATCGTTGAATTATCAAGGTGACACTGTCATATTGCTTCCATTTTACTGCACTTGCAGTAAAGCGTCTGCAGCGTCGTCTTTGTGCTGCCTGTATAATAGAAAAGTAATTGGATCATAATTGCTTTTCCTAAGTCTGAGCGTTCTACTCTTCCGCCTGCAGGTCTCTGTATAATGATAGCGGCCTCCATCTACACTGCCCAGCTCCATGCCAGTGAAACAGAGGGCGGGTACGGACACTCCTACGTCCTGGCCTGGATCTCCTTTGTCTTCACTCTATTCCTAGCTGTGACCTATCTGGTGCTGCGGAAGAAGAGCGAGTGAGAGGAAAAAGCAACGAGGAAAAAAAACCCCAATCAGGGCAGGGTTTGGATTCTTTTGATTGGAGATTAGAGAATGGGCAAAGCCTAAAATTAGTTTAGAAAAACTTAATGGAAAAAGAAATATGTGCCTTGCATTCTTTATTGATGAGCCATTTGATCGTGTTCTGACCTTCTTTTATAAAAAAAAAAAGTCCATTAATCTAAACTGAGAATGCAGGGTGGTGTTTTGTAAAAAAAAAAAAAAATTAACAGATTGGGAGAAAAAAAAGATATTTGATTTTAAAGTGTGTGGAGAAAAACGTCCATTGTCTGTTAAAGATAGTTACGTGTAGGTTTGTGGAATTCAGTCAACACCCAATAGTTTGACATATGGAAAAGTACTTATTTGCTCTGTTGCCAAGTATGATGGCCACTGCTACATACAACACATATCCAAAGATGAAGCTACAACCAGCAGTTTTCTAGTTGCTCCCTGATTCCCAGTGAAAAGCTGGAGAACACATTTGGCCCGGTGTAAACGTGACACGTCTGCTGGCCAACACCTCAAAAGCTGTGTGTTAAATACGCCTTTATATGATTCGTATTGTTCATCGTTTACCAGAATCCCTATTGACTGATGTATGAAATCACAGATCACCGCAGGTCAGTGTGGGACAAGGCTAGCCACACTTTCACACCCACCTGTCAATGTTAACGCTAAGCTAAAGTGACATTTACTGTTTACACCGGAGTGGAATAAAATCTCTAACCTAACGGAAAAGCAAACCAGTAAAAAGAGTTTATCCTTCAATGTCAAACTACTTCTTTGGGAAGGCGGAAAGTCGGCATGAGAAGCGTTCTTGACATTGAGCAGTTAAAAATATTCTGCGAGATCAAAGTACTTGTGGTTCTGTATAATCCCATCATGTGGCTGACAGCTACTGCTGCAGATCTGCAGATCTGAGGAATGAGAAGAAAAACATACTGTATCTGTGAAGGTAGAGTGCATTGGCGGAGCGACAACATTCCTTTCTGCAGAACTTGAATCATCAGAGAAAGCCTTAATTTCCAGATTCTGTAGTTTTAATCATGTATAGTTATTTTACAACTGAAGTATCGCATATCCTTTTCATGTACATTGTAACCATTATATTTTTGTAACATTTTGTAATGAGTGTTTTTTTTTTAATCATGTTTGATTTCATGTCTGTAGTTGGCTGCTATCCTAAAAAAAAGTACATGTACTTTGTACTAGTGAACATAAAGTGAACCAGGGATGGAGGACAATGGTGTTTCCTTTCACCACATTACAGGAATAAACAATAGAAGGTTGTGTTTGTTATTATCTTGGAGTAAAAGCCATATCATTATATTAATAAAAACAAATAACCCAAAAGCATCTTCTTCTCGTCTATTAAACAATTGTACACATTTTCCTTAAATTCATCAGTCCAGTTTTGTAGCCTCACGACACAGAAAAATACTAACAAAGGTCAACACACGAGACTGAATAAGACGACGCAGTTAGGTTTTTACCAGTCTCTCAATCTGTACAACAACAGCCTCTTCACCTTTGAGTGCAAATAAGTTGACTGAAGTTTTGACCTTGAGCTTTTATAAAAGAATCAGTCAGAGACAGGAATGTTCCATGATGTGGAGTATTGTTCCCAAAGGAAATAAGAAAAAACTTTGACTAAATGCCTTGGCCAGACGGTGTAATACGCTCCTGGACCACCAGGTGGAGAAGGTGGTTCTGCTCAGCAGTCAGAAGCGGCCTGATGGAGAAAACACACATACACACACACTTTAAATGGGGAAATTCTAGTATGAGACCAATAGAAATACTAAGAAACTTTTTATTGGGATGGAAATAAATATTTTTTACACTTACCACAGCTCAGTCTGAAGAGCCTTCAGGGACTCTGTGTCTTTCTCCTGACATGCCATCTGCAAAACAAATTCACCGTCATAACTACTGTACTTATTAAGCACATTTGAACCTTTGGAGTCTGACTTAATTTATTCTTTATTTTTTAAATATTTTATTACTGACTGCCTCAGACTGAGACAGTAATAGAAAATGTCTTTCTGCAAGTGAGAAGAAAAAAAATGCTCAAGCAAATTTACGAGTCTTCCTTGAAAGCCACTAAGACCCGACATTCTTCAGTCTGAGGCAGGAAGAACAAGGAAATCCTGTGAACTGTGGATGATGAAACTCACCACAACTGACTGCAGGAGCAGGAACACATTCTCTGGCAGGAAGGTGACTGAAGGACATGAATAAACCCATGTTAATGAAATCAATGGTTAACTTTAAAATTTTACTTTTTTTAAATCAAACATACTGTTGGTTGCCATCACCTACCTTGGCTGTGAGGGTCAAAGGACTCCCACGCGTACTTCTCCAGGGTCTGTGCATGTTCTGGTAACAACTTCTGAGGTGGAGGCTGCACAAGCAATCAGTCAAGTGTTAAACTAAGAATAATATTGACATTAATTAATTCAATCTTCAACTTGCAGTCAGCACACTAGGAGGGGTTTGTCTTGTAATTTACATTTCAACCACATGAGGGACGTTTAACACCAGTAATGTCACACATGAATGTGTATGCCGATAAAGACTGGTGAAGTGGTTTGTTTTTATTCTTCAGTTTTCCATTGTTCTAAATGCATTTTCTACATCAGTTGCTGCAGATTGTGTTGCATCCATCCATAGCTTTTGTCTATAAAAATGCTAAGTTACCTCAAGCAGCATCAGCAGCAGTACCCTGGAAATTTCACATTTTGCCACAATGTCCAAAAATGCACCTTTAGGGATAAAAGAAAAAACATTCATTAGTCTGTGCTTCAAAAATCAAGTTATTTGATATAAAATTAAACTGAGAATTTGAGGTAAATATTTAACCTTTAGATTAAGTTAAAACTCAGCATTGTCTTTTAGTTAATGTCACAGTAAACAAACAGTTACGTTTAAGCCTTTAATTTTCAAGACATCATCAGAAATACAAAAGCATTTTGTTTAGAGAACAGATAAAACGAGTCTGTAGCTAAAACACAGTCTCACCAACAGGGGTACTGGTGCCTGGTACCTGCAGGCCTCTCTCCTGACACGTCAGCTGCATCTCTGTGAACATGGACAAAGCTCCATCGTAGTCACCTGCACACACACAGAGAGAGAGAGAGAGAGAGAGAGACCCACAGCCAAGTTGCAGAAAAAAAAAGTCTAAAAAAGAAAAAAAAAAAAAAAAAAAAAAAAAAAACTCTCATGAATCGGCAGTTTAAACTCACGGGTAAGAATTTTACATGTGGCTATTTCTCCCATTGACAGCAGAGCTTCGATCGGCGTCTGTGTCTGCAGCTCTGCCGCCCGCTGAAAATGAACAATGGCCTCTCCTGGTCGGTTCATCTCCTGAGAGAGATGGAAGAACAATCAGTAAAAATACTTTATATAAAATAATTTAAAAAAAACAACAATTAGAGAGACATTTTAGTTCAGTTTAATGCAGCATTAAATGATGGAATTGAAAATTTAATTTTCTACCTTAAGTGCATTTCCAAGTTCTAGGCACAGGCTGGCTGCCATCACAGGCTGGTTCATCTCTATAAACACCTGTAAGCATTTGGTAAAGTAACTTCTGTCTTTATAACCCAGTAATGTGAACTAAAGACATTTCTATACGTTTGACAGAAATCAACAAGCTGCCAATTACATTTTACATTACATTTACATTCACTGTCAAGGTATTTTTGTTGGAGTCTAACCATCTAAAAATGTCACTTTAAACCAACAACAATAGTTTACCTTAATTGCAAAGCTGTAGCAGTTAAGTGCAGCCTGAAGGTGCTCATCAAAGCCCGGCGCCTGCAGAGCCCTGTTCTCCTTCTCAGACAAGAGGAAGAGACGAGCGGCATCGGTTAATGCCAAAGCCTCTCCAGGTGCATTAAAAAGAGTCTGCTCACACCTGCAGTTAATACAACAGCTGTCAGTGCATTAGCAATAAAAAATGTCAGCGCTGTTAACGATACAGCCTCCATCAAACCTATTTAAAGCAACCGTCACATCCATCCATCTGCTATTTTTTAATCACTTGATCCTGTTCCTGCAGTGTGACGGCCAAAATAGCTAGAGAAGACTAATAAGTTAGTGCAGCCCAGTGACCTAACTGTGAAATATGTCCAACCATAAAAAAGACAAGATGAGTCTCAACTGGCATGAATGATTTATTGCCAGTTGAGTCTCAACTGGCATGAATGATTTATCATTTGTCACAATATATAATGTGATATACTGTGTGTAACCTGTCAGTTTCACTACATTTCTGTCACAGCTTCTAAGTTTAAAGGTTTCTTTTCACCAAAATTCTAAAATCTGGCTGCAGGTATTTGCTTTAAATAGTCAGAAAAAAATTGGACTATCTGCCAAACTTGAAGGATGCCTTTACTACAAATTAGAAGACTCAAAATATATACAAATGAAAAAGAGGTCTCGTCTTTACTATTAGAAAAATCTAAAAAAAAAACTAAATAAACCTAAGGATCATATACTTTCTATGCTAATGCACTCAAGGTATGTACAACACACGATTGTACACCGTAAACACAGCTGTTAGAGTTCTCTTACCGAGCCATGGCCAGGTTACAGAAGGCAGCATACTGCAGACAATCTTGCTGCTTTAGCTCCTTGGCTAACTGACCTGAGAAGATAATAATGGGGGTGAAAAAACCCGTACCGAGTTAAAATTTCAAAATATAAATTTTAAATATGCAGTATTACAAATGTGGAGGGCATAAGTTAAGTGTTGAGGTTTGGTATTTTATAGTTGTAACACACGCACTTACCAAACTGTTCACTTGCCTCTGCAACATTGGGCTTACGAAGAAAACGTCTGCACAAAAGAGTTGCAATATCAAGTCAGTGGCTGTCGTTTTTGTTGTCAAATATCAATCTAAATTGGTGCAAAATAGGCATTATTTTTGTGTCAAAAGCAAAATTATCTTTCAAACAATAGCACTTAAATTACGTCCTGCTTCCTATATATTCACTTTATTATTTACAGCATTAATCGTCAAACTAACCAATATTATTATCACAGCGTCAAAAGCACAACACAGATGTTACGAGTAATAAGCTAACAGTTAGCTTTGTATTTTAGCGCTCGTTGCCTCTGTAACATTCGTGCCCCACTGTGTTAACACATCACCTTTAATTATTTTATCATTTACACAAATATGTTCTATTAATGTTTCTTACTTTTTTAATTTATTAGACACAGCGCGATATCTCGCCAAAAAATCAGCCTCCGCAGCCATGGTTAATGCAGCAAAATAAACGCCAACACCGAACCAACCCGGAAGTTCAACTGACAGCTGCCTTGTCATTGGCTCAGAAAGCACTGGCTCGCAATGTCATTGGTAAATCCAAGCAGCAGGAGGCGTGCCTTAGTAAGGACGACAGCACTCGATTTAAAAGCAGCGATTTAAGAAAGAAAGAAGAATTTAACAAATTAAAGTCATGTTAACCTTTTTTTTTATTTCTCAAGTCACCACCAAACTAAACAATCTCACTGTAACAATTGTGATAATAATTTTCATTATATTCCAAATTCCTTTTGTGGAGGTGATATATTTGTGTATTTGACTCTGATTTACCTGATAGAGATAAAATGGAACAGAACCCAATGTTTGACAAAGACGTTATAATAAAACTGAGAATCAAAGCAAGAAAATTAAGTTTGAAATTGAAACAAGCAGAAAAAAGAACTCAGCTTTTCTACAGTTACACAGGCATTATGTGCAGTTTGTGAAGAAAACTCTAAATTTCATGCATGTTAGTTCAATCAATAGTGAATCACACTTCATTCTGTCATTTGTTTGAGTGTGAGCCACCATTACTGTTATAACTGTTACCATACTACCTTCAAAGAGAGTGCCTTTGCTTTTATGTTTATTTTTACTTCAAAAAGTCCAAACACATCATTTCACAGTCTTAAAGTTTTAGAAATTGTTCACTTTACCAGCTAATAATCCATGGCATTCTGAGATAATAACACAACAGGGTTGGATATCTACAGTATAATGTGGTGTGACGATATCCTTTTAGTATTTATAATTGAATGTTCTCATAGACCGACTCATATTCCACTGCGCTGTTCTGCTGAATCTGTTGAAAAAAAGAAGAGATTTTATCACCTCCACTCGTGACTATTTTGCACTCATAATACAGGATGTGACAAAACATGAGCGTTCACTGACCGTGTTCTGTGTTTCTGTCTTGTCAGGATTTGTTTGTATCTGGTCTTCTTCCCTGTTTCTACCTGAGAGCTCCAGTTCATCGTAAATGGACCTTGGTCGTATTTGTAGGCTCTGGGAAGGTCATTTAAATATAAGCGACACACATTCATCGTAGTACAATAATTAATGTTATTGTGATGTACTGGGTACTACACTATACTTATACTTACAGCATAGTGCGATGTGGAAGAAGTTTTCGTATTCTCAGCGCTATCTTCTTCTGTTTTTCTTCTCTTCCGTTCTTCCCGGTTCGGGTTTTGTTTCCCACCGTTGATCCAGTTCACAGTTATTTGTTCTTTCTAAAAGTAAGTGATTGGTACATAAAATGAAAAGACTGCGGTTTATGCTGGATAACTTATTACATACAACATGATGCATTTTTTGTAATGTTCCTATTTACTTCACTAATGTTTCCTACAGCAGAAGTTATGTTTTTGGTTCTTAGTTATTTAACTATTTTTTTTCTTAAAAGTCACATTTTTAAGCTATTACTTCAAAAGCAAAATTGTTATTTGTAATTAAAACAGTCTTATTTCTATCTTATTTTGATAGTTTGTCAACACCTGCACATTCCAGAAGCTTCAGAGATGATTTGTTGTCTCATATTGTTTCAAATGTCAGCTTTTCTATTTCAATGACTAACCATGATTATTTCCTTTTCAAACAATCAGTGATCTATATGTTAAATCAGAAGCGGGGCAGCACGTCTTTTCTTAACTTCTGTCTCTTACCCAATTTCCTGTGAAGACATAGAGTGATCCCAGCACACTGAAAACCAGCAGCAGGCCTGTGAGAATGGACAGAGTGATGAACTCTGTGTAGTCCAACGTCGTGGTATCTGTGTAGCCATGGTCTACAAACACAGAAAGTGTTCAGGGTGTGTGTTAGAAACACATCATTCCACTTGACAAGTATAGCAGCATCAGTATTAGGACGCCATTTACTACTACTGCTATGCTGAGAAATACGATACTGCTCACAACAAATGAATAACAAAAAAAACTAAAAATCTAGGGAATATTATATAATAATATATAAATATTTATAATACATAAAAATAATATAAATAATAGGGAAGTATAGGGAAGAATAAAAAAATATTTCCTTCAGAATATTATGTATATCATATTATTTTCACATTATTCGTGGAATACTCCTGGAAAACATGATGCGAAACGACCCAAAAAAACCCTCTTGCGACTCACCTGAGGGTCGCAACCCAGTCTTTGGGACAAATGCATTAAAGAATGAAGAACCTTTCAAAACAATTTTTGGTTGTTTTATTGTCGACCTTCCAACAACTCACCCCTCGTGTCGACTGTTTTAGTTTTTTACATCATCTCTAAGCTGGAGGCCAATCTGTCTTTCACTAGAGCGATAATAAAAGTATCATTAATTATATCCACATCAAAATGACTACAGATTTCACATCACTGTGTAGAGGCCCACACCACACTCTGTGAGAGCTCAGATGAAAACAAACAAACAAACAAACAAATAAACTCAAAGCACACATTATCCCAGAAGGCATTTGAACTGAGTTTTGACTTTTGCATAGTTTTCCTCAACATTTTGACTAGTCACAAATAAAATACAGATATGAAACCATCGGAATGATTCATTTCAACATTTTGACTATTCACAAATAAAATACAGATATGAAACCAGTGCATTTTCATTCCAGCTGTTATTTGTCTTTCTGTTTCTCCAACAAACAGAAAATGCGTTTTTTTTTTCCATTTACACTTCCTCGTCTCTTTTACTCACCTCTCACTAGTAGAAACCAGTACACCTTGGCTGTTTCATACCAGCAAACGTATTCTCCAGACTCAATCAGGTTTATCAGTTGAATTGTCTTTTTAAACTCTTGATCTTGGACGGGAGTCGCAGGGAGGTTAGATCTGTATATTTTTTGGCCGAGAGGATTAAAGCATGTCACAAAGTTGGCGCTCATGTTTGCTGGTTTGTGGATCGTACATCTGATGTCCAGATTGTCACCCCTCAGTGCCACATGAACAGTACTGTCCAGAAACAACACTGTGAGGAGCAGAAACACGAAGAGTCGTGGAGATTTAGTGACATAGTAGATAATTTAACATTTTCACAGTTAAACACCAAACTTTTGTTAAATTGGTCAGATAGTTTTACAAAGTACATACAGGTTAAAGATGAAAACAAACACATTCAAATAAATATAAAAAATAGAACAAACAGCGACGTTGCCATTCCAGAGAGATGATCAAGTCTTATAGTAAATATTTATCCAGATGTGAATGTAAAAAGTACTTGGGAATAAAGGTGACTTACTTGGCCTGCTTATTTTTGCATATACAGAAGAGAAGAAAAACGCAGACATCCACACGACCACGAAGAAAGAACTATACATTGTCCTCTGCAGCAGTGAATGTTTCCTGAACTCTCGAGACTTTCGTGTTCTTCTCCAAGTGCACAAAAGGTTGTTTTATGTTTCCTGTTTCAGACAGAGTAACTTCCTTAAAGTGTACGTTATTTGTTTTTCACAATCCTCACACTTTTGGGTACAAAGAGCCTCACAACTATGTCATGCATTCATTGGGACAATTGGTAAAGGTATAGTACAAATACGCAGCAAAGCAAAAAAGAAAGGTTAGGAGTTGAATTTTAAAAAAAAGAAGAAAGTTACATTTAATTATCAATCTTAGAGATATAAAATGAACAAAGAGAGAGTTCTTGCTATTTATGTGATGACATCATGTGTTTTTAAGACACACACACACGCACACACACACACAGTGTGTGACAGAGAGAGAGGGGGTGGGTGGTCTGGAATTCAGCAGAAAGTGACATATTGCCTGTTGATAATGTGAAGCAGCAGTGGTTGCTGGTGTGACTCCTTCAATATTCTACGTTTGCCAGGCGAGGTGCACAGATGTGGACGTGTGGCAGATCATTCATTTCTCCGTCTGCTTTTATTTCTGCCCTCACGTCACTTCCCCTTCCTCTTCCTCTTATCATGACATTTTCTTTTCTTTTTTTTTTTCCTTTATGGCTGGATCAGAAGCCAAGAGTGACCTCAGCGTAGTCACGGAATAAAAAACAGACAGGGAAGAGTGGAGACTGAAATAACATCTGGATACCAGTGACTCACTGGGTTCTTTTGATCCCACTCCCACAGTTATTATCTTATCTTATCTGTTTTTTAGGGAAGTGAAGCCTTTTTTATCTCCCTAAATTTACTTTGACAATGAAAGTACATTTCACATCCACAAAGCAGCTAAATGTGACATCACGGCTGCTTTAAAGGGAATGGACTCTTAATGTTCGTATCTGTCAAAGGAGCAAAGACTTGATCTCTTTGTTTGAACTCGTGTTTGTTATACTGTGTTACAAATACAGAGGAGTTATAGTTGTTATGCTGCATTTTATTTGAACTTGATTTGTTTTCATTACAGTGAAAGAACACAGTTGTTTAAGATTGTGTGTGGTGTGATTTTGAAAGAATAATTATTAGTTGAAAAAATATTTGTATGAGCAATTTTTTTAAATTATTTTTAAAATATTTTTTTAATAACTAGGCATTTCAGGTGACCCCGATGGGTGACCCCACATGGGGTCCCAAACCTAAGGTTGAGAAACACAGGTCTGTTCTAATAATAATGTTATTTGTTCACAATCAAATAGCTGAACAATAACCAGGCTGCATCACAAACTGTGGGATTCTTGTACAACTATTTTCCCCCTGCTGGTAAAACAGAACATCAGGTCTAATTTAGTTATAACACTTCATATTTGCATAGAAGAATAGTCTGATTCTCTTACAGTTTAAAAATGCCCAGAAATATTAGCACAGGCAACATGACAGGAACCTTTATAACAATCAAATACATCCCACATCATCAGTAACAGATTTAGGAAGCTCTGGTGCTGGGGTGAGCAGCTGCCTGAGGTTGGAGGGGCAGAAAATGTGAAGCACAAGGAATGAAAAACTCCATAAGTCAAGTCATGAGGAGACCACACCACAGTTCTTCAGAACGAGTGAAGCAGCAGCCACTGATACTGAAATATATGTCAGCTTCTCAACAAAGAACGGAGCAACAACTGACTGTGGACTGTGATCAAATATATAACAATACATGTAATACAATTATGTGAAACAAAAGGAGGTTTTGTTAATCTGTCAGCAGATACTCGTGTGCGTGTGTGTGAGTGATAAAGATAGATAGAGAGAGAGAGAGAGAGTGAGAAAGAGAGAGAGCAGAAAGGAGAGAGGCGTGTTTTGTGGTGCACGCAAATAAAGACTTTTCATCGTTTCTAGTCCCACTCGACTGCACTGACCTAATAATAACCTCACAGCTGTCAGGAACTAATCAGAGAAAAGAAGGGATAAAGAGATAAAGAAGAAGAAGAAGAAGAAGAGGAATCAGGACTAAATCTGAGACTGGAAGCATTATTATCATCATCATCATCATCATCATCATCATCGTTACATTTGTCCTGTAAGTAATAATGTTTGTATTTTTACTCTTTCTTTCTTTTTACTTTTTCTTTCTATTTGTCTAAGCAGGGTGACAACTTTTTCTTTCTATTTGTCTAAGCAGGTAAAACAATGGCTACCTGGGTATAAAATACAACTACATCTGTGGTTTAAATATATATTTTTATATTGTAGTCATTAATAAACTGTGTCTTTGGTCAGATATAAAGACAGTTCCTGAGACTATCGTCAACTAAAATTCCTCAACAATGAGTCGCTGCCTTGTTATTGTCCATTACGTTGAACATATGCCATATGGATGCAATACAGCTTTTTTTCCCCTTGTAGTTACCCTCCTGTAGGGGGCAGTGTTTTAACCCCCTCTCCTCTAGGATGTTTTTTTTTGTGCTCATTCTTGAGTTTGTAGATCAGAATGAGCAAAAGAAAACAACATCTGAACTCTTCCTTTTCCAGATTGGTCTTTTTCGTTCCAACTCTCGACTGTTACACCACCAAAATCAAAGACTTTTTAAACTGATTAACGGTTTGATTTGTGGTTTAAGAAGCAGCGTCTCAGAGACCTCATCTCTCTGCTATGTTTGCAGAATCAAGTGCAGAGACGTGATGACACAGTACATGCTGCAGTACATGAACTGCAGATCAAAATACTACAATAAAAAAAGGAGTAGCAGTCTGCTCTCTGAAGAAGACAAATCGTTTAAAATACAAGAAGTCTTCGACTCGGAAGTCCGCTCCTACGGTGCGATGTAACTCGATTTTCGCCACAAGTCGGAACTCACATACCATAAATAAATACCCATGTCGTTCAACTATGCTAGCACAGTGCTAACTTGATAATCTTGGATGTAAAGACACCAGAAGAGCCTGGGAGCCATGATGAAGGGCAAAAAACAACACAAACAAAAGAAGATGGCTACGACCTGTGAATGTAAACAAAGCCGTCTTCCACGTGTAGCACCGCGTAACACTGATCCGTCTGCTCGTCTCTGCCAACTACCGTATTGCTTGTGTGAAATTTGTTTTAACGCCGTACGTCTGAGTGATGGAACAAGACTTTATAAATACTTTTATGGGAGTTGAAAAAGAGAGCTTGGAGTTTGGTTTGTTGTGAGTTGTGTAAATCTGTCACTCTCTCTCATCAGCCTGAAGACCAGAGGTCAGGTCAGCCTTGACATATTTCTGGACGTGGATCTTAAGGGACTTTGGTTTACTGTACTTACCAGGTGACAGACCGACCTGCTGTTGGATCATATTGGTAACCTGGGCCTTGCTTGTGCTCAACTATGTGATAGTACTAAACAGAAGGGCAGTGGACAGTTGTTTGTGTTTCACGTGTGTGCGGCTCTTGTTGCTTGATTAAGAGTGACCTCTGGAGGCGGTCAGCCCTGGGTTGGAGGCCTAAAAACAGCAGGACATAACTGTTCACGGTGGTGGTTGATTTTAAAAACGATTCTTTGAATTCCAGCCGTCAGAGAACAAAGTATCGTTCTTATTTTTACAGTCATTAAATTGTGTGATTTTTATTTGTCTCTCTGACCTCTCCGTGTCCCTGCTGTGTTCTCTGCTGACCCACTGTCACCCTCCCTCCGTCCACTCCCTCTCCTCTCCGATCCCATGCTTGTAAAATAAATGACCAAAAGCTAAAACAAATAGCAACTCTGCAACTTGTCAGAAACATGTGGAAGACAAATTTGTGAGAACCACACACAAGGCTTCGTTTAGGAAAAAGTTGCAAGACGGAAAAATCTGATTTTCACCTCCAGCGTCCACTTTTAGGATTTAGCCATCAGCTAAAAAGCCATCAAAGATAATAAGCAAAAACAGAGAAAAACATGAGAAAGTGATGCAGAGAGAACTGTTCCAGCTGTGGAGACATGTGTTTGTGTTTATCTCCAAACACCATCAGGCCGGTGTCCCATCACCACCACTCAGAGGTCAATGTGGGAACTTTCTGATTTTTAACTTTCTTTTCAGGTCTGTGTGCTGGTCATGGCTCCTCCTCCTCCTCCTTCACCTCTGATGCTCCTGGTGCTGATTACCATGGGAGCTGCCAGCAAAGAGAATGAACTGGATTACGGCCACTGGAACTACAGAGAAGGATGTGAGTCACAGCATCGGGTTTGATCACTAATGCTCTGCAGATCTCTGAGGGACAACGAGTTTGAAATCATTATTTATAAAACAGAAAAACTGATTTATTTGTTAACACAAATAAAAATCAACAGTTTTGTAGAAACAATTTATAAAACTAGCTTTTATTTCCTTCTCTAAATCAAAGCCTGATGGTGTTTTGTTTCGCCTCCAGCGGAGAGTGTGAACGTGGCCTCGGTGCGCAGTGTGACCAGAGTTTTGGACGCCTGGGGAAAACGCATCTTTAATGAGATCAAGACATTACTGCACTCTCAGCCCAACACACTGCTGCCTGACTACTCCAGGTAATGACGGAGTACTGCGAAGTACTGCCTGACTACTCCAGGTAGTACGGAGTACTGCAAAGTACTGCCTGACTACTCCAGGTAGTACGGAGTACTGCACTGCGGCCTAGTAAAAGATAAAACTGACTTCATTCGACCCACACACATTCTCACAGGTCTTTGGTGGTGAGTCTGAGAGTCTGTCCAGACTAAAATACCTTTGAGTATTTTCGGAGTTATCCTAAGATGTGACCTACATTCTGGGCACCTGGATACCAGATGTGGCCCAGTGAAGGTCCACCCACTGCTGTCATATGTTATCTTCATTAAAGTAGAATTTGCACAGTTGGAATTAAAGGTAACTAGTGAAGTGTCTAGAGCGGGGGTCACCAACGTGATGCCCCCAGAGGTGCCCACAGAGTATGTTCTAAAAATAAAACTATACTATTTATTATTAAATAGTTCTGGAAGTTGGTATCAAACAAGTAGCTCTTTGTGTTAGAGCAGGGGTGTCCACAGTTGTTCTCAGTTCAATCAGTGAAATGATTTCCCCAAATCTCATGTTATAACATGTTATGTTGTTCCTTAACCCACTGTTTCTTAATGTTGACAGAAAT